CCTGAAGTTTTCTTCTGATTTGTTTTATTTTGTTTTGTTTTTTGAGACAGAGTCTCGCTCTGTCACCCAGGCTGGAGTGCAATGGCACAGTCTCGGCTCACTGCAACCTTTGCCTCCTGGGTTCAAGCAATTCTTCTGCCTCAGCTTCCCAAGTAGTTGGGATCACAGACACCTACCACCAGTCCGTCTGATTTTGTATTTTTAGTAGAGACGGGGTTTCACCATACTGGCCAGGCTGGTCTCAAACTCCTGACCTCAGGTGATCAAGAAGTCAAAAGGCCATTTAATTTACTCTGGCAACTAAACTAAAGTTTACTCTGGCAACTTTAGTTCTCAAGAAGTCAATAGGCCATTTAGTTTACTCTGGGCAAGGCTGCATCTAAGAACAACATTATTGTTATTATTTTGAGATGGAGTTTCACTCTTGTTTCCCAGGCTGGAGTGCAATGGTGTGATCTCAGCTCACTGCAACCTCTGCCTCCCAGGTTCAAGCAATTCTCCTGCCTCAGCCTCCTGAGTAGCTGGGATTACAGGCACGTGCCACCATGCCCAGCTAATTTTGTATTTTTAGTAGAGGTGGGGTTTCACTCTAATGATTGTTTCTTTCGCTGTGCAGAAACTCTTGTTGAATTAAACTCTTAAGTTTAATTAAGTTTAAACATCAGCAAATGGTTGAGGTTTAAATACCTCTGAAGTTATTCTTTGACTATATTTTTTACATCACTTTTTCTATTTGTATTCAGTGAAAGTTTTTACATTTCAAGTAAATGAGCCTTCATTAAGGAAAAACAAATATATATGAAAAATTAAAGTACCTTCCAGTTCTAGCTTGCTTAAGTTTCTTCTGCAAAAGTACAAAAATAAACCCACTGAGAACTAAACAGGACAGGGCCATGGCAAAGGCAGAATGGCTGCCACGTTAAGATTTTTGCTTACCTTATAGTGATGGCATATTTTAGGTGATAAATTTTCTCCGTTATCTAGCACTTAAAATGAACATTTTCTTACAAACTTTATTTGTAAGAAACTGATTTCTATTAATTAGCAAACACACCAAGAGGTATCTGTTGATCTAAAATTCTTTAAATCCAGATAAATGTTTCTTAAAATTTATTTCACACTAATTATATTCTAATATGTTTGCACGTACTTCATACAGAATCACAGAGTTGAAAGGTTTTTGTCTTTTTCCTGAATTTGCAACCTATACACTTAACAAAGTAATATACACAATAGAGGCCATCTGTAATACTGACTATTGCTTTGACCACCCTAAAGACAGAGCTGCCACCAGCACATTGATAAACTAGTGAATGTAGTACTATATCACTGTCACCACTGCCAACTACAATGTTTAATATTTATTTAGACATATTAAAAATAACTCGTGAATAAATACAGTTTGTGTTATGAGTGTAAATAATAGGACTTAACATACCACTCTTCCGCATTCACAGTTTCAGTTCTCTAATTCATTCTCTGCAAGGCAGAGATTACTCAAGTTAGGGGATGATTCTCAAATGTTCTGTGATTTAAGCTTCATCCTCTTGAGCAAGCTCTGTCCTTTGGCCAATGTGTCTTTGAGTGTATCTGTCATGGCTTCATTCTGCAGACTGAAGTCTCTCTCCAGTCTGAACCACCTGGAGCTAGAAATGAAACGACACAAGCACCCCTGTGGCCACGAGCGTCAGAGTGCTCTTGATCAGACCTGAGGCCTGTGTTGGGCTCATGGCCTCTGTAAACACTACCTGGCTACTTCCAATGTTTGTTCAAGGCCATGAGGCTCTATAACCAGCAGGTGAGAAAGCCAACCAGGCCTGTGCCCTTTCCTTCAGGGTACCAACTTCCCACCGACCACTGCCAAGTCCAGGCATGCCATTCAGTAGCCAGGGACTGGAGTAAGACCCTTAGGAGTCTACCTGATGTTCTATTGTACCATGGCTTTGCTGGCATTCCAAGCACAAGATGCAGTTCTATCCACTCTTCTCTCCATTTTCCGCAGGCAGAGGAGCCTCAGTCTGTGACCACTACCACCATGGGCCCACGGGGAGTATGCCAGGCTACTGACAATAGTTTCTTAAGGCCAACGGGCTCTTTAGTTACACTGTGGTAAATGCTGCCTAGGATAGGGCTCGTTCCTCAGGACAGTGGACTCTCCTTTAGCCCAGAGTAGGTCCAGAAATGCCATAGAAGAGCCAAGGCCTGGATTCAAAGACCCCAAGGACGTACTTGGTTCTCTAAACCTCTGTGGCTGAACTGTTACCTAAGATGAAAGACAAATTCTCATTTACTCTTCCCTGTGCTTTTCTCAAGTAGAAAGAGGTTTTCAGCATAGCCACAATAGCTAGGATTGTGCTGAGTTCTCCTGAAGCCAGCAAGGCTCACAGTTGCACTGAAGGGCCATGATATACTATCTGGATATTTCACCTGGTTATTCAGGGTCCAAGGGCTCTTTAGTCAGCAGGAAATTACCCAATCCTGCTAGGACTGGGTAATTTCCTTTAAGGAAGCAGGTTTTCTTCTAGCCTAGGGTGTGTCTAGAATTGTCATTTTGGAACTAGGGCCTGGAAAGGGGGCGTCATGGCTCTGACTGAAGGCCTATCTTACTGTGACTGAGGTGGTATCCAAGACATAAGACAGAGTTCTCGTTACTCTTTTCGTTCTTCAAGCAGAAGGAAAGGGTCTCTTTTGGAGCCACAGCTGTGCAGCCTGAGGTTAAAGGAGGGGTGATGTAAGCACTCTCTCGGCCACCCCAGATGATGTCTCAGTATGTCGTGTACCATCCAAGTCCCCTGGTTCTGAGTCCAGTTCAGCACTAGGACTAGCCTAGGAGTTGCAGTCTTTGCAGTCTAGACTGCCTTTCAAGTTTATTTAGGACCCCAGAGCACTTTAGCTTACCACGGTGACATTTGCCAGAACTCAAATCTCAACTGCTGGCATGTGTTATTTTCTTCTGGCTAGGACTGATTTATATGCTTCATTTGTGGAAGATGTTAGCTGAATTCAGTCCGGTTTTGCTTTCTGCTATGGCGGGGCAGCATTGAGTTCAATCCCACGTGTCACAATTGCTCTGCTATCCTTCTTACAGGCACACAGATTCTCTCTTTGCCTCACGTGGCCACTGCCAAGGGACTGAAGAGAGGTAACATTAGTGATTCAAGATTCTCTTTCCCACCTTCTTCAGTGTCTCTTTTATTGATGTGAGTTAAAACCAGCTATTGTGAGTGCTCACTTGATCTTGCTTCTCATAAAGGTGCTTTGTTTTGTATAGATGTTAAACTGATGAAGGCAGGGGAGAAAATGAGCGGCCATCTTGTTCTTTCCCCTCACTTTCCAGTTTAGAATGGAAATACATGCATGAAACTGCATTTTGGTCATGTATTTTTGCAGAGACTAAGGTAAAGATAAGTCTAAATTGTCCCCTCCCAGGAAAAACTTACATTTTACCCCATTGTAGGTTTTTATGAATTAAAATAATCTTAATATAGGTCAGTATATATTTAAAAACACTGATAACGATTCACTGTCGTCAATACCTAGGAAAATATAACAAACAGAGATAATTTGTGTCCTCAGCAAACCTTAAAATTTACACTGTGAATGCACATAAACACTTTCAATTAATTTTAACTATGCATTTATTTGTTCAACACTTTCATGTATTGAATAAATGCTCTGGGTGTAACACTGCTACTTTAAAGACTGATTGATACTCTTGTTAATATAAAAATAAATTCCTCTGCTTTCATGAAACTTACTTTCTGGTAGAGGAAGACGAAATAATCATATAAGGATATTAATGCAATAAAAGTACAAAGAACTAATGTTATCCCTCCTCAAACCCCCCACCCTCTGCTTTCCCTCCCTTATTAATTTAGCTGGTGATCAATCTATTTCATTAATATTTTTCAGAAAAACAAGCTCCTGGATTTGTTGTTCTTTTGAATAATTTTTCATATTTCAATCTGCTTCGGTTCAGCTCTTATTTGGGCTATTTCTGGTTATCTGTTACGTTTGGGAAGTGTTTGCTCTTGGCTCTGTAGTTTTTTTTATAAGTTGTGATGTTAGTTGTTAACTTCAGATCTTTCTAACCTTTTGATGTGAACATTTAGTGCTATAAATTTCCCTCTTAACACTACCTTATCTGTGCCTCAGAAATTCTGGTATCTTGTGTCTTTGTTCTCAGTAGTCTCAAGAAACTTTTTTGATTTCTGTCTTAATTTTATTATTTACCCAAAAGTTAACCAGAAGGAGGTTACTCAATTTCTATGTAATTTTATGGTTTTGAGCAAATTTCTTTGCCATCATTTCCAATTTGATTGCAAATTTGATTGAATTTGCTGAGGAGTGTTTTACTTTGGATCAGGTGATTGATTTCACATTATGTGCTATGTGGTGATAAAAAAAAAGTGTCTATTCAGTTGTTTGGGGGTAGAGTTCTGTAGATATCTATCAAGTCCATTTGATCCAACGTTGAGTTCAGCTCCTGAATATCTTTGTTAATTTACTGTCTCAATGATCTGTCTAATATTAACAATGGGGTGTAAAAGTCTTCCACTATTATTGTGTGGGAGTCTGAGTCTTTTTCAAGGTCTCTAAGAAGTTGCTCTATGAATCTGTGTGCCTCTGTATTGGGTACATATATATTTAGTATAGTTAGTTCTTCTTGAATTGAACCCTTTACTATTATGTAAAGGTTAGATATCCACTATATTGAGTGGGCTAATGTGCTCTGTACAGTTTGATGGATTGTGTTAGCCAAAGCATTTTGTACTGTGGTGACAGCAGGATCCATGCTTGTAGGGACACGTGTGGCAGAATGCTAGCAGGTCCTGGGGTGCTTGCCTCCCTGTGGGTGTTGAAAATGCATCTGCAGGGGGTGCAGGCTTCCCCTCTGGTGACTGTGTGTGGTTGTGCTGAAGGTGGTGTTGGCTACAGGGTGGGGTCCTTGTGACCACAGGTCTGGATACCTTCTTTGCCCTGCAAGCAGGAGTGGTCATTCAGGGCAGGGTACTGCTGTATGTGCAGCCTTAGTACAAGGGTTGAATTCACCCAAATTGGAGAGTATTGTAAACTATAGCTGAATTTAATTTAAAAATCAAAAAAGAGCTCAGCAATCAATTGAAAATATAAGCCCAGAAAGCTTACAAATTGTCTGATGAGAACAAGAGTTCAGGAGTTCTGATCCCTAATCTAATTCTTCATCTAGGATACCACACTGCCTTCTCAGGGCTGCCTTCATGTCTCTGTTCCTCAGACTATAGATGATAGGGTTCAGGATTGGGGGCACGAACTGTGTAGAACACAGACAGGAAAACAGCCAGAACCGAGGGAGAATTTGAAATTGGCTTCACATAGGCAATGCTGCCGGATATCATAAAGAGTGTTACAACCACAAGATGTGGAATGCAGGTAGAAAATGTTTTTGATCTACCCTCCCTAGAAGGAATCCTCATGATGACTGAAAAAATGTACATGTAGGAAAGAGTAATTACAGCAAAGGAGATTATCACAAGACTTGTAACAAAAACCATTACTCCAATCTCAATGGTAATTATTTTGGGATCTAAGAGGCTTAGGAGCTGTGGAATATTACAGAAAAATTGACGTATTCTATTGTGCCCACAGAATGGTAATGAGAATGTTGCCGTCACATGCATGAATCCACAGATCACCCCACTGAGCCATGACATTGCCATCATCCTTATACAGACGCCTTGGTTTATGATGACCTCATAACTGTAAGGGCCGGCAGATGACCACATAGCGGTCACAGGACATCACTGTAAGGATGGCTACCTCAGTAGTCGCCAAGTCCATGAAAAAGAAGGCTTGCAGAGCACACCCAAAGAAAGAAATGCAAGTATCATGAGTCAAGGAACTGACAATAGATTTTGGAATTGTGACAGAGATGTAACAAAAATCTAAGAAAGACAAGTTTCTCAAAAAGAAATACATTGAGGTTTGGAGGTGAACATCCAGAGTGGTAAGCATGATGATTAGGAGATTTCCTATGAGAGCTACCAGGTAAACTAAGAAGAATACAGCAGCATGTACAATCTGAATATCCCAGGAATTCGAAAATCCCATGAGGAAAAATTCAGCAACTTCAGTTTGGTTAAAATCATTTGTGGTCGATCCATTTCTTCCTGAAGAGAGAAAAATATGAATTATAGAAATATCAAATATGGCTACCCTAACTGACATTGAAATTTGTGATAATTAAGTTTACTTATATGCAGTGTGGATACTATCATTCTAAACTTAAATCTCAATTACACAGAAGAGAGTTTTATGCAAAGCATATTCTCAATAAATATGTACTAGTATGTAAGGTATATAAAAGAGGACAACCAAAATGCAAAATAAAAAGGGAGAATTAATAACCACACTGAAGCAATCAACAAAGAAAATGTGTAGTGTTAAGAAAAGAATAAAATACACATTCCTGGAAAATAAATGAATGTTAGTGTTTTTCCATCAAGTGAATATACATATTTATTTTGAAGCATTTTATTTGTTGAAGTATAGCATTGCAAGTGGTTTGTCATAGCTCTTTTCAGTTTTTATGAAAATAAAATCAAAGTCCTATTAGTAATCTGAAAAAAGTCTCCTTATGTCATAACTATTTAGTGAGATTATAGTCACAGACTTTCAAAAAAATATCAGGAGACATTTGTTAAACACCTGACATAAAAAGCACAATGGTTGATGCTTAGAGTAAATATTTCATAAGAAACAGTTCTTGAATTCAGAACTTAAACAATCAAATGGAGAATGTAGGGAAATAAAATACCAAGTGGAGTCTGGTATTACAAAGAATAGCAGGCAAGAGAAGACAAGGTGAGAAAGAGTGATAGTGTATTGTATTGAGAAAACAGACTGGTATTTGGTGTTGTTATAGAAGAGTGGTGGAGAACAGTATTTGAGCTAGAGCTTGAGAACTATTTTACTGAATTATTATTACACAGGTATTTTTTAAGAAAGCCACATAGGAAAAGGCAGAGGTACAAAAGTTTTTATAGTATAATTAGAATATGGATGTGGATTCACTAAAAAAAAAAGGATTTATGACAGTCTTTTTGCTGGTCTTCAGAATTCATCTTCAATGTAGAGTTAAAAAAAAAGAATATCAAATATGTATTCAAAACACCTAAAAATATTGGGCATTTTCTATAATGATCTTTCTTAGCATCTGTTACTTAGTTTTATTTTATTTTTAATTTTGCTTTGGATTGGTCAAGTCCAGTAAAATGGTGTCCTCATTCCCAGAATTCTATAGTGTTTCAAGTCAAACTCTAAAATAGATTTTCACCCTTGTCAATTGATGTAGCTGGAATTTATGTACTAGTAAACTGTATTAATTTAAAGTATGCAATTCTGGGGGTTTTGGCAGTTGTATATGCCTATGAAAACACCACCAAAACCAAGGCAGGCTATTTTCATCATATCCAAAAGATTCCTTATCCTTCTTTGTGTATAATCTCTTCCTCTGCCAGTTGTCATTCTAGGCAATCACTGATTTCCTGGTCTTTCTAGGGCAAATCAAAATTTAAACCGGGAAAGAAAACCAAAATGGAGTCAACTGAGTGTCTCTCTACTGGAAAATGTGTTTCTTCTTGTTCTAGCTTTCTGACATTGATTGCCTAAATAGCTGATTGTTAAAGGGACTGGTACAACCAAATGGAAATGAAAAATGCTTCTTATGACCAAGCAAAAGAACCAACCTCATCTTGAGAGTCTATTCTGACTACGGTTTACCAGAGCACCATTAATTAACGTCTCTTTTATTAAAACATAAAGGAATGATACGGTGACACTAATTAGGAAGAGAAATATTGAGGACTCTAAAATGAGAGCTATTGTGCGCACTGAGAGACATTAGAATTGACTCATTTATTGGGAATTTTTAAAACTTCAGTCAATGCAAACATGTTTAAATCTGCACAGAACATCCTTTTCATCGAACACACGCACACAGACACACACAGAACTTTCATCACTGAAAGGAAATATAGACTCATCCAATCCCACCATACATCAAGACCACACACATACACACACACACACACACACACACACACACACACACACACACACTTTCAACACTGAAAGCAAATACCCATGCAATTCCACTATACATCAAGACTCGTATTAGACCACTCTCTCTTTTCTTTACCTACTTTCATGGATGTGCATTGCTCACACCAAGATCCAGAACTGCTATCACCCAAACAAAAGAAATGAGAGTGTATTCTAAAATGTATGGTGCTTAATCTATAAATCAGATAAGAAGATGGTATGGAAATATATCAGTACAATCTATTAATTGAAAAATAATATAACATTATTATGGTTTTATTTTCCAAATTTATGGTATTGAACTTACTGCATGCTGTGAGCTGATTTTTGTTGATCTGGGCCATTGAGGAACTTCAGTCATTCAAAATTTAAAACTTCCATTTCTTTGAGAAGGAACCTTGGTTTATCTAAATATATCAGATAAAATTGAAAAATGCCTTAATCTCACAATGTGACTGTAGCCACTAAGTTGAGACTGCAGATACCTTTGTCTTCGCCCTGATTCAAAAATATAAACTTGATGAGTACAACATCTGGTTTCCATTTAGCTGTGATTCAATATTTGTAATGAAATAGTGATTAATAAGTGAGATCCTAATGAGAGAAACTCTTTATAATTTGGAGGTCTCTGGAGACCAGATTTCTTGTGTTTTAAATATATCTTTGGGGAGCGAGAAGCAAAGCAGAGCATTGATTAATTCACTGACTAGCAATAAGGAGAAATTTTCATTGTGTGATGTTGGATAAAGAATGGAAATTAATTGAAAAATATGATCTCCCACACACCCAGAGGCTTGATTAGATAGAGCGTTGTGCTTAGAGTTAAAGAAGAAATGATCAGTAATTACACTTGGACTATAGGTATAAACCCAACCAGAGATTCTGGAACTAGATTTTCATTCTTAGTATTTTTATCCTAATATTCTTCTCTAATAGGTATATTTGTACCCTTTTCACAGCCCTTTCTATCCTAAGTCAATTTTGTATATGAATGGCAAATTTTAAACATAAAACTAATTTAGCTGGGCATCCTGGTTCATGCTTATAATCCTAGCACTTCGGGGGGCTGAGGAAGACGCATGGCTTGAGCCCAGGAGTTTGACACCAGTCTGAGCAAACATGGTAAAACCCCATCTCACTGTGCATGGTAGCATGTGCCTGTAGTCCCAGCTACTCAAGGGGTTGAGGTGGGAGATTTATTGAGCCAGGGAGGTGGAGGCTGCAGTGAGCCATAGTCAGGCCACTGCCCTCCAACCTCAACAACAGAGCAAGATCCTGTCTCAAGAAAACAAAACAAAATAAGAACAGTGAAAAATAAATCTATCACCCTCATTTTAAGACCTTTCTGTGCATTTATTTTATATTAAAAGGAAAATTTGGCGATGTGGCCTGTATGCTTGAATTCCTTGATTCTTTCTAATTATCCACCTCATCTAATTCTCTGCCATTCCTCACCGCTACATGGATTGAGTGGCCATCAAATTGTTTCTTTTGTGAAATGCTGTTCAAATATTTTCTCATTTAAAATTGAGTTTATTTTTATTAGTATGTAGGAATTATTTTCCTTATGGATGTTATTTATTAATGAAATTATAGATATTTTTAACATTTATAGTTTTATATTTCTCTTTATAGTGTTTGATAAATGGAACTTACTGATTTCAATGTTGTTTTTCTATGAATTCTCCACTTTTTAAAAAATTATACTTTAAGTTCTGGGGTACATGTGCAGAACATGCAGGTTTGTTACATAGGTATACTCGTGCTATGGTGGTTTGCTGCACCCATCAACCTGTCGTCTACATTAGGTACTTCTCTTAATGGTGTCCCTCCCTTAGGCCCCCACACCCTGAAAGGCCCCAGTGTCTGATGTTCCCCTTCCAGTGTCCATGTGTTCTCATTGTTCAACTCCCACTAATGAGTGAGAACATGTAGTGTTTGGTTTTCTGTTTTTGTGTTAGTTTGCTGAAAATGATGGTTTCCAGCTTTATCCATGTCCCTGCAAAGGACATGAACTCATCCTTTTTTGTGGCTGCATAGCATTCCATGGTGTATATGTGCCACATTTTCTTTATCCAGTCTGTTATTGATGGGCATTTGGGTTGGTTCCAAGTTTTTGCTATTGTGAACAGTGCCACAATAAACATATGTGTGCATTTGTTTTTTTTTTGTTTTTTGTTTTTTTGTTTTTTTTGAGACGGAGTTTCGCTCTTGTTACCCAGGCTGGAGTGCAATGGCACGATCTCGGCTCACCGCAACCTCCGCCTCCTGGGTTCAGGCAATTCTCCTGCCTCAGCCTCCTGAGTAGCTGGGATTACAGGCACGCACCACCACGCCCAGCTAGTTTTTTTGTATTTTTAGTAGAGACGGGGTTTCACCATGTTGACCAGGATGGTCTTGATCTTTCAACCTCGTGATCCACCCGCCTCGGCCTCCCAAAGTGCTGGGATTACAGGCTTGAGCCACCTGCGCCCGGCCGTGCATTTGTTTTTATAGCAGAGTGATTTACAATCCTTTGGGTATATTCCCAGTAATGGGATTGCTGGGTCAAATGATGTTTCTATTTCTAGATCTTTGAGAAATAGCCACACTGTCTTCCACAATGGTTGAACTAATTTACACTCCTACCAGAAGTGTAAAAGCATTCCTATTTCTCCATATCCTTTCCAGCATCTGTTCTTTCCTGACTTTTTAATGAATGCCATTCTAACTGGCATGAGATGGTATCTCAATGTGGTTTTGATTTGCATTCTCTAATCACCAGTGATGTTGAGCTTTTTTCATATGTCTGCTGGCTGCATAAATGTCTTCTTTTGAGAAGTGTCTGTTCATATGTTTTGCCCACTTTTTGATGGGTTTGTTTTTTTCTTGTAAATTTGTTTAAGTTCTTTGTAATTCTGGGTATTAGCCCTTGGTCAGATGGATCAATTGCAAATTTTTCTCTCATTCTGTAGGTTGCCTATTTACTCTGATGATATTTTCTTTTGCTTTGCAGAAGCTCATTAATTATATCCCATTTGTCTATTTTGGCTTTTGTTGCCATTGTTTTTGGTGTTTTAGTCATGAAGTCTCTGCCCGTGCCTATGTCTTGAATGGTATTGCCTAGATTTTCTTCTAGGGTTTATGTTTTTAGGCTCTATATTTAAGTCTTTCATCCATCTTGAGTTAATTTTTGCATAAAGTGTAAGGAAAGTGTCCAGTTTCAGCTTTCTTTATGTGGCTAGCCAGTTTTCCCAACACCATTTATTAAACAGGGAATCTTTCCCCATTACTTGTCTTTGTCAGGTTTGTCAAAGATCAGATGGTTGTAGACGTGTGGTGTTATTTCTGAGGCCTCTATCCTTTTCCATTTATCTATATATCTGTTTTGCTACCAGTACTTTGCTGTTTTGGTTACTGTAGCCTTGTAGTATAGTCTGAAATCAGGTAGCATGATTCTTCCAGCTTGTTTCTTTTTGCTTGGGATTGTCTTGGCTATGCAGGCTCTTTTTTGGTTCCATATGAAATTTAAAGTAGTTTTTTCCAATTCCGTGAAGAAAGTCAATGGTAGTTTGATGGAGATAGCATTGAATCTGTAAATTACTTCGGGCAGTATGGCCATTTTCTAAGAGCCTTCACTGTGATTCACCTACAGGGGCCTTACAAAGGCCCTAAACAGAATCCCCATCTGCCACTGACACCTCAAGAACCATTAGGTCTGCTGAATCCCATGGCCTATACAGCAAAATAGCTTCCACAGCAGCCTGCACCTGTTGCAGAGCCTGCACTTATTCTGAGTTCCCACTCAAAACTAGCAAGCTGATTAGTAAATTGGCTGGAGTAACACACCCAAATGAAGAATATGCAGCTGCCAGGATCCAAAGGGGGGTCCACTAGACATTGTGCTGCTTTTTTGGACATAAAGGAAAGTAAGTACAACTATTTTCTTCATCGTAGAAGGGAATCTCAGCATGCTCTACACCCCTCGACCCTAGAAATTTCACTGAGATAGAAGATCCCTGATTATTGTCACAGGTATTTCCCATCCCTTGGCATGTATACATCTCATCAATAAATGTGGAAATGCCAAAGATTGTCAGCATACCACCAGAAGCTAGAAGAGATGCACTGAAAAGATTTTCCCTTAGAGAAACCAACTGAAAGTTCTTACACTTTTTCCCTTAAGAGACACGCTCTGCCAATACCTTGACCTTGAACTTCTAACCTTCAAAATTGTGAGAAAATTAATTTTTGTTATTTAAGCCACTCACTCTGTGATCCTTTGTTATAGTAATACCAGTAAACTAACACACCTAGATATTCAAGTTTATAGTTGCTTTATTCATTTATAGTCACTGTATTCATAATATCAAAAACTTAAATATCCTACATATCTATCAAGCGATTAAATTAACAAATGATGTATATCTATATGGTGACATACTGAGACAAGTAAGATGTACAACTACTGATAGAAGGTTAAACATAGATGAATCTCAAAAATATTATAATGAATAAAAGAAGCCTTACACAAAATAAACACAGAAAGGATACATCGCTACAAATATCTAGAAAAGTTATAATTATACAAAGCAGATCATTGGTTACCAAGACTGATGAAACCAAGGGAAAAGGAGCATTATGGAACTTTCTGGAATGATGCACATGTTCTATCTCTTCATAAGGAAGTGATTACCTGGGTGAATACATTTGACAAAATTCTTATAACTCTACCCTTACAGTGGTTAACTTTTCTTGTATATAATTATACTTCAGTAAAATTGATTTTTAAAATGTAAACAATTTCAAATATTCAAATATTTATATGCATAAAAGATAAGATAAGCTTCACCAAACAGTTTACAAGTTAAAAAGCACTTATATAGCAATGATTTTGTTGTTCTTCACAACCACATAAGACAGTTACATTTTTAAAACTCTACTTTGCTGAAAAACCGGATCTCAGAAAGATTAAGACATCTTCCATGGCTTATGGTGAACCACCAGAAGACACATGCCCTTGGATTTCAATATTCCTTCTACTAATGAATACTGTTTATTAACCTATTGCCTGCCCGTTCTCTTATAATTCCAGACTGTTATTCAAATTAAAATTAACCTTACTAAAAATATGTTATTAATATCATAAAAATAGCTACACAGGAATACAAAAAGTAAAACATTATGTCATTTTTCTTAAATTGGCTAATTTCTACAAGACTGACATATTTTTGATAGAATTACTTTTCTAGAGTTGCAAAGTTTCTATTAAGTTCCCCTTCTACACATTAAAATCACCACAAGAGAGCACAAGAATTAGTTGAGTAGAGAGGCAAAACGTGTATACAACAAATGAGTTAGCTGAAGTCCACCTATTGATTAATGCTTGTCAAGGACTAAAAGGTCAGTACAGGTTAAAAATCCCCAATCTTTAGATCTAAAATGCTCCAAAATCTGAAACTTTTTCTTTTTGAGACAGAGTCTCACTCTGTTGCCCAAGCTGGAGTATGGTGGCAGGATCCTGGCTCAGTTCAGCCTCGTCCTCCCAGCTCAAATGATCCTATTACCTCAGCCTCCTGAGTACCTGGGACTGCAGGTGCATGCTACCACTCCTGGCTAATTTTTAATTATTTGTAGAGGCAAGGTCTCACTGTGTTGCACAGGCTGGTCTCAAACTGCTGGACTCAAGAGATCCGCCTGTCTTGGCTTCCCAAAGAGCTGGGATCACAGTCATGAACTGCATCACCAGCCTAAAACTGAAACTTTTTGAGCACTGACTTGAAATAGTGACAGTTTTGCTTTCTGATGGTCCGGTGTACATACACTCGGTTTCATGCGCAAAATTATTTAAAATATTGTCTAAAATTACCTTCAGGCTATTCAGATAAGGTGTATATCAAACATAAGTGAATGTTATGTTTAGACTTGAATCCCATCTTCCAACTCTCTCATTATGTGTATAGAAATATTCCAAAATCCAAACATAAATCGGAAATATGCTTCTGGTCTCAAGAATCTCAGATAAGGGATACTCAACTTGTATACTGTAACTATACAAGAAAAATATCATGAATGCATTGTCAATTAAGGCCTTTGTCTCCATATTAGGAAGCTGGCATATCATTTAAAATTTTCTTGGGAAAGAAAGTATAATTAGATGATTATTTTCCAGTTTGCTTCCATTTTAAAACCAGAAACTATACCTCTACCTTCAGTAGCAATAACTAGTCACAGATTAGATTAACTAGTGTGTTGTAAACAAAGGTATAAACACAAGTTTATCTTCCATTTTTACTAATCTTTGAACAAAATCCTTCAATTCTCTATGGCTAGAAAGGCAATAATGAGCAAATATATATGATTCATTTCACTTTGTGTGTGTGTGTGTGTGTGAGTTGATTCTGAGCCAATGTGAGTTACCATAGCCTGGGGTACAGTCTCAGGAGGTTTTGAGAAAGTGGGCCTGAGGTGGTCAGGTTACAGTTTAGTTTTATACATTTTTAAGGGAGACGGGAGTTCCAAGACATAAATCAATACATGGAAAGTGCACATTGGTTCAGCTTAAAGAGGCAAGATCTTGAAGCAGGAGAGAGCTTACAGATCATAGGTAGATTCAAAGATTTTCTGATAGGCAATTGGTTGAAAGAGTTAAACTTTGTCTAAAGACTTAAGAAGTGAGTAGAAAAGAATGCTTTAGCTAAAATAAGGAGGTTGTGGAAAACAAGGTCTTTGTTGTGTAGACGAAGTCTCATAGATAGCATCCCTCAGACAGTGTGTGATGCTATACCAAAGTCAGGTTGGAATTGGGACTCCTATTGCCAGAATCAGTCTGTTTCATCTGTCATACAATCTTTATTTTAATGTTGATCCTGGTCACTTGTGCCTATATTCCAAAAGGGAAGGGGTATAACAATGTGTGTTTCACCTCCTTTCCTATCATGGCCAGAATTCAGCCTTTCAGGTTCACCTGAGGTCTCCTTGGCCCAGAACGGGGTCTATTCAGTCAGTCAGGGGGATTAGAATTTTATTTTCAGTTTACATAATTGTCTTAAGAAGTTATTTTATTTTTTTTGTTTTGTTTTGTTTTTTAACCACCTCCATGTCCTCAAACTTTACAAGCAAAACACGTAGTATACTTTAGGTTATTGTGTCGATGTATGTGATTTCACCTAAACCACAGAGATGTCACATTCCAGAGTTGCCCAAGAATATACAATAAGATAATATTTCTAAACGTTAGCCGGAAATGCATATTTCATGCACTGCCCAGAGTAAAGAACTCCTCCAGAGTCTGCTAGTCTGCATCATCTGCATTGCTGGAAGGTGATAAAGCAGCTTGAGGGATTTAGTGTGGAAGCACAACTTCATAATCATGTTCATGGGTGCAGGAACAAGGCCTAATAACAGAAGTCCTAAGAAGGGCATATTCTGTCTCTGACCTTTCTCTAAACTCTCTTATTCTCCTGGTGAGGGAGTCAATGTTCTCATAACCATCATCATTGGAACTCAGGGAAGATCTCCGATGGGGGGTGTGATTAATGACAGTGTAGCACACTTCTTCAGAACCACTGCCATTCTCGTTTTCCTGCCAAGCACAAAGAGAAAAGAAATCAAGGACTCAGAGTCATTCACAAATTGAACTCAGTACCCTACCCTCCTTTCTTCTTTATACAGCTCAGGGTGCTCTTACACCTAAGGTGTCCAAAACCCAAGCATTCCTATACACCAATGACAGAAAAACAGAGAGCCAAATCACGAGTGAACTTCCATTCACAATTGTTACAAAGAGAATAAAATACCTAGGAATGTAACTTACAAGGGATGTGAAGGACCTCTTCAAGGAGAACTATAAACCACTGCTCAAGGAAATAAGAGGGCACAAACAGATGGAAAAACATTCCATGCTCATGAATAGGAAGAATCAATATCATGAAAATGGCCATACTGCCCAAAGTAATTTATAGATTTAATGCTATTCCCATCAAGCTACCATTGACTTTCTTCACAGAACTAGAAACAAATACTTTAAATACCACATGAAACCAAAAAAGAGCTCATATAGCCAAGACAATCCTAAGCAAAAACAACAAAGCTGAACAAAAACAGAATAGGAACAGCTCCAGTCTGCAGCTCCCAGTGAGACTAACGCAGAAGGTGAGTGATTTCTGCATTTCCAACTGAGGTACCTGTTTCATCTCATTGGGACTGGTGAGACAGTGTAGCCCACAGAGGGTGAGCAGAAGCAGGGCAGGGTATCACCTCACTGAAGAAGCACAAGGGGTCAGGGAACTCCCTACCCTAGCTAAGGGAGGCCATGGGGGACCGTGCCTTAAGGGACAATGCTATCCGCCCCAGATAGTACACTTTTCCCATGGTGTTCGCAACCCACAGATGAGATTCCCTCGGGTGCCTACACCACAAGGGCTCTAGGTTTCAAACAAAAAAACTGGGCAGCCATTTGGGCAGACACCAAGCTAGCTCCAGGAGTTGTTTTTCATACCCCAGTGGCTCCTGGAACGCCAGTGAGACAGAACCATTCACGCCCCTGGAAAGGGGGCTGAAGCCAGAGAGCCAAGTGGTCTTGCTCAGTGGATCCCATCCCCACGGAGCACAGCAAGTTAAGATCCATTGGCTTGAAATTCTTGCTGCCAGCACAGCAGTCTGAAGTCAACCTGGGACGCTGGAGCTTGGTGGGGGAGGAGACTCCACCATTACTGAGGCTGAGTAGGTGGTTTCTCTCTCACAGTGTAAACAAAATCACCAGGAAGTTTGAACTGGGCAGAGCCCACCACAGCACCACAAAGCTGCTATAGCCAGACTGCCTCTCTAGATTCCTCCTTTCTATGTAGGGCATCTCTGAAAAAAAGGCAGTAGCCACAATAAGGGGTTTATAGATAAAACTCCCATCTCCCTGGGACAGAGCACTTGGGGAAGGGGCGGCTGTGGGTGCAGCTTCAGCAGACTTAAATTTTCCTGCCTGCTGGCTCTGAAGAGAGCAGCGGATCTCCCAGCACAGAGCTTGAGCTCTGCTAAGTGACAGACTGCCTCCTCAAGTGTGTCCCTGAGCCTCATGCCTCCTAACAAAAAGACACCTCCCAGCTGGGGTCAACAGACACCTCATACAGGACAGCTCCATCTGGATCTGGTGGGTGCCCTCTGGCACAAACTTTCCAGAGGAAGGAGCAGGCAGCAATCTTTGCTGTTCTGCAGCCTCCACTGGTGATACCCAGGAAACAGGGTCTGCAGTGGACCCCCAGCAAACTCCAGCAGACCTGCAGAAGAGGGGCCTGACTGTTAGAAAGAAAACTACAAACAGAAAGCAATAGCTTCCACATCAACAAAAAGGAGTACCATGCAAAAACTCCATACGAAGGTCACCAACAGCAAAGACCAAAGGTAGATAAATCCACAAAGATGAAAAAAAGAAAAAGCTCAAAAAGGCTGAAAATTCCAAAAACCAGAATGCCTTTTCTCCTCCAAAGGATCACAACTCATCACCAGCAAGAGAACAAAACAGGACAGAGAATGAGTCTGACGAACTGACAGAAGTAGTCTTCAGAAAGTGGGTAATAACAAACTCCTCTGAGCTAAAGGAGCATGTTCTAAACCAATGCAAGGAAGCTAAGAACCTTGATAAAACGTTAGACAAATTGCTAACTGGAATAACCAGTTTAGAGAAGAAATGAATAACCTGATGGAGCTGAAAAACACAGCACGAGTATTTCATGAAGCATACACAAGCATCAATAGCCAAATTGATCAAGCTAAAGAAAAGATATCAGAGATTGAAGATCAACTTAATGAAATAAAGCATGAAGACAAGATTAGAGAAAAAAGAATGGAAAGGAAAAAACAAAGCCTCCAAGAAATATGGGACTATATGAAAAGACCAAACCTATGTTTGATTTCTGTACCTGAAAGTGAAGGGGAGAATGAAACCAAGTTGGAAAACACTCTTCAGGATATTATCCAGGAGAACTTCCCCAACCTAGCAAGAAAGGCCAACTTTCAAATTCAGGAAATACAGAGAACACCACAAAGATACTCCTCAAGAAGAGCAACACGAAAACACAGTCATGACATTCACCCAGGTTGAAATGAAGGAAAAAATGTTAAGGGCAGCCAGAGAGAAAGGTCAGGTTACCCACAAAGGGAAGCCCATCAGACTCACAGTGGATCTCTCAGCAGAAACCTTACAAGCCAGAAGAGAGTGGGGGCCAATATTCAACATTCTTAAAGAAAAGAATTTTCAACCTAGAATTTAATACCCAGACAAACTAAGCTTCATATGTGAAGGAGAACTAAAATCCTTTACAGACAAGTAAACGCTGAGGGATTTTTGTCACCACCAGGCCAGCCACACAAGAGCTCCTGAAGGAAGCACTAAATATGGAAAGGAAAAACTGGTACCAGCCACTGCAAAAACATACCAAAAATGTATGGTGACTCACGCCTGTAACACCAGCACTTTGGGAGACTGAGGCAAGTGGATTCACTTGAGGCCAAGAGTTCCAGACTAGCCTGGCCAACATGGTGAAAACTGTCTCTACTAAAAATACAAAAATTAGCCAGGTGTGGTGGTACACACCTGTAATACCAGCTACCTGGGAGGCTGAGGCACCAGAATCACTTGAATCCGGGAGGTAAAGGTAGCAGTGAGCCGAGATTGTGCCACTGCACTCCTGCCTGGGTGACAATGTGTGACTCTCCCTAAATAAATAAATAAATAAATAAATAAATAAATAAATAAATACTTCAGCAGAATTGAGGCCAAAACAATAAGAACTTGCTACTCATCTAGATCAGTTAAAATACTTTTTATTTCCTTTCATTTCTGCATTACAATTACCACATAAATTATTTAAAATATGAAAGATTTCTAAAAGTGCATTTAGAAATTACAAATAAAGGAAGACAGATGCTATTCTTGAATAAATCATCTGTATTTTGACATTTGTCAGAAAAACATAATAAAAGTTTGTGTTTTTCTTTTGTCTTGCTTTTTGTTTTCTAATTACCTGATTAGAAGTGGATGAAACTTCTTGGCCTGGAGGATTAAAAAAAAAACAGGAAAGTGTTACTTTGCACCATCACAGATTGAAGGAAAAGATGAAAAAATAGAATGTAGTAGTAATAAAACTGCAAAGGCCTATTATCTAAACATCTGACATTACCCCATCTTATAACTGAAGTTCTCAAGACTGAGTGACAAGATAAAGAACATATGTTCTGAGGTAGCATCAATAGTATGTTCTTTGTGTAAATAAAGCACATCCAATGTACTGAATAAAATGGATTCCAAATTTGGTAATAAAATGTTGTTCATAAACATGCTATGTCAATGCAATATGATAAGCATAAACAATGATTATAGTTACAAATTTAAGATTTAAATTTTATGTAAATATCACAGGAAAATCATACAATGCTTTAAAATGAACACTCACTATAGAGATAGGTACAGAAATAACATTAGTAACTATTTCAGGTTACATACAAATATACAGTTTGATGTTAATTCCATCTATGAATGCTGAAGCAATTTACATATATGTGAATCGGAAATCCACTACTAATTTTTTAATAAACAAGCTAGATTGAGGGGTCACAGAATTCTAATATATGGCAACCATTCCTACTTATGAGAAGAAACAATGTTAGAAACAAACAAAAGGGCATTGAGATAAATCCTGCAAATGCTAAATACATAAGAGAATATGGTGAAAAATTTTAAGCTTAGGACTTTGAAATTTTAATTGAAAGGAAACATTTGAAAATAAATATAATTTGCAAAGATGGCCAAATGAAACAAAAAATGTGAATAGTATGTAACTATCAAAGCATTTGTATCTATATGTAAAATATATTCTTTGCAGCTGGGCACAGTGGTTCATGCCTGTAATCCCAGCACTTTGGGAGGCCGAGGCAGGTGGACCACCTGAGGTCAGGAGTTTGAAACCAGCCTGACCAACATGGAGAAACCCGTCTCTACAAAAAATACAAAATTAGCCTGGCATGGTGGTGCATGCCTGTAATCCCAGCTACTCAGGAGGTTGAAGCAGGAGAATCTCTTGAACCCAGGAGGTGGAGGTTGGAGAGGGCCAAGATCGCGCCACTGCATTCCAGCCTGGGCAATAAGAGCAAAACTACATCTCAAAAAAAAAAAAATGTTCTTTACAGTACATGCGACTCTGCCAAATGCCTTCACCAAAAAATTCGATTAAAGATTAGAAAAAGCAATAAGATCAATCATACACAAAAAGCTTCAAAAGAGAAGAAAAATTCCAAGAATGATCACTAAGGAGCACCATCATTTTATATTTTACCAAAGAAAGTGTGCTGGCAGAGTGGCAGGTCGGTGGTCAGTGACTGAGGGTCTCAAGAGTATAGTGTGGTGTCAAACAAATCAAGGAAGCAACACTTTCAGGAGGTAGAGCTTGAGAAACACTTATAAGTACTAGAGAAAGGGCAGTTAAGGGTAAGGTTGGAAATTGTTCTTTAAAGTCAGTTGTTGCCATTGGGTAGAGGCATTGAACTTTTTTGAACGTGACTCACAGTTAGCAATGTATTTTACACCATGGTTTAGTAAAAGCACATATACATGAATAGAAATCATAGCATCATTTAACAATTTATTTGGGGTGCACTCTGATGCTTTTTAAATATGTTATTCATGATGATGTTTGCTTAAATAAATTTATTGCATAGCCCATGGAAATTGCTCAGTGGAGTGGCAGCGCTAGAGACAACTTACTGTGATCTGAGATGTGATGGGGAAATGCAAAGTTCCAAACAATGACGCCACACAGTTATTTCAAAAAGCAGAGAAGACAGTGGAGACAACAGCAACAAGAAACTGAGTTTCTTTACAGAAGCAGAGAGTAACACTGTGGTTGCCAGTGGCTGGGAGGTGAGAGAAATGGGAAAATGTTGATCAGAGCACACAAACTTGCAGTATAAGACGAGTAAGACTTAACGTCAGCACGGTGACCAGAGTTAACAATGTAGTACTCTCTTTCAATTTTTTTAACTTTTATTTTAATTTTGGGGTAAGTGTGGAGGTTTGTCCCATAAGTAAACTTGTGTCATGGGGGTTCGTTGCACAGATCATTTCCTCACCCAGGTATGAAGCCTGGCACCCATTAGTTACTGTCCCTGATCCTTTCCTCCTCCTACTCTGCACCCCGCTAGGCCCCAGTGTGTGGTATATCTCTGTTTCCATGTGTTCTCACCATTTAGTTCCCACTTATAAAAGTGAAAACATGTGGTATTTGGTTTTCTGTTCCTGTATTACTTTGCTAAGAATAATGGCCTCCAGCTCCATCATGTCCCTGCAAAGGGCATGATCTCATTCTTTTTATGGCTGCATAGTATTCCATGGTGTATATGTACAAATTTTCTTTATCCAGTCTATTATTCATGGGCATTTAGGTTGATTCCATGTCTCTGCTATTGTGAATAATGTTGCAGTGAACACACACATGCAGGTGTCTTTATAATAGAATGATTTATATTCCGTTGGATATATACCTAGTAATAGGATTGCCTGGGTCAAATGGTAGTTCTGTCTTTAGACAGGATAGAATCGCCACACTGTCTTCCACAATGGGTGAACTAAATTACACTTCTACCAGCACCATATAAGTGTTCCCTTTTCTGCACAACCTCACCAGCATCCTCACTGTTGTGTTGATATACATTTCTCTAATGATCAGGCGATATTGAGCTTTTTTTTCATATGATTGTTGGTCACATGGTATGTCTTCTTTTGAAAAGTGTTTGTATTCTTTTCCCACTTTTTTTTTTTTTTTTTTTTTGAGACAGAGACTCGCTCTGTCACCCAGGCTGGAGTGCAATGGCACAATCTTGGCTCACTGCAACCTCCGCCTCCTGGGTTCAAGCAATTCTCCTGCCTCAGCCTCCCAAATAGCTGGGATTACAGGCAAATGCCACCATGCCAGGCTAATTTTTGTATTTTTAGTAGAGATGGGGTTTCACCATGTTGGTCAGGCTGGTCTCGAGCTCCTGACCTCATGATCCACCTGCCTCAACCTCCCAAAGTGCTGGGATTACAGGCGTGTGCCACCATGCCGAACCCTTTTCCTGTTTTTAATGGTGTTGTTTTTTTTCCTGTAAATGTGTTTAAGTTCCTCAGAGGTGCTAGATATTAGACCTCTGTCAGAGGCATGGTTTGCAAAAATTTTCTCCCATTCTGTAGGTAGTCTGTTCATTGTTTTTTGCTTGTTTGTTTGTTTGTTTTGTTTTGTTTTGTTTTGTTTTGTTTTGTTTTGTTTTGTTTGAGATAGAGGTTCACTCTGTCACCCAGGCTGGAGTCCAGTGGCACAATCTCAGCTCACTGCAACCTCCGCTTCCCAGGTTCAAGCGATTCTCCTGCCTCAGCCTTCAGAGTAGCTGGGACTACAGGTGTGTGCCACCATGCCTGGCTAATTTTTGTATTTTTAGTAGAGACAGGGTTTCACCATGTTAGCCAGGATGGTCTCAATCTCCTGACCTCATGATCTGCCTGCCTCAGCCTCCCGAAGTGCTGGGATTATAGGTAGTGAGCCACCATGCCTGGCCATCTGTTCACTCTTGATAGTTATTTTGCTGTGCAGAAGCACTTTAGTTTAACTGGATCCCATTTGTCCATTTCTGCTTTTGTTACAATTGCTTTTGGTGTCTTCATCATCACATATTTGCTTGTTTCTATGTTCTGAACGGTACTGCCTAGGTTGTCTTACAGGGTTTTTATAGCTTTGGAATTTACATTTAGGTCTTTAATTCATCTTGAGTCAATCTTTGTATATGGCATAAGGGGTCCAGTTTCAATTCTCTGCGTATGGCTAACCAGTTAACCCAGCACCATGTATTGAATAGGAAATCCTTTCCCATTGCTTGTTAGTTAACAATGTAGTATTCTTTTTTTGAAATTTGCTAAGGGAATATATCTGAAGTGTCCATATGTCCCCACATTCATACAAGATGGTAGCTATGTATAGCGATGGATTTATTAATTTGATGTAGTAATCATTATACAAGGTATATATATATATATATATATATATATATATATATATATGTCAGAAGGCGTCCCCAAACTTTTTACACAGGGGGCCAGTTCACTGTCCCTCAGACCGCTGGAGGGCCACCACATACTGTGCTCCTCTCACTGACCACCAGTGAAAGAGGTGCCCCTTCCTGAAGTACAACGTGGGGCCAGATAAATGGCCTCAGGGGGCCGCATGCGGCCCACAGGCCGTAGTTTGGAGACGCCTGTGTCAGATCATCGCATTGCACACTTTGAATATTAGGCAATTTTTATTTGTCAGTTATACCTCAATAAAGTTGACGTGAAAAAGAAACAGAGTTTCCTTTAAATATGCTTGTCCACAGAGGCTGAGCCCTGTTATTCGTAACTGTCGATTTTAGAGTAATTACATGATTACTATACCTACATACTATGGCAAACAGAGCAAATTCTTTTTTTTAAGAGACAGGCTCTTGCTACATTGCTCGGACTGGACTCTAACTCCTGGCCTCAAGGAATCTTCTACTTCAGCCTCCCAAGTAGCTAGGACTACAGGAGTGTACCATCAGCTTCTTGCAACTTCTTGAGAAGAAAAAAATACACTTTTTATCACCTGCTAATATTCAAAGACCCTATTTTGAAACACCAATATATAAATTAAAATCAAGAGAATTTTGGTTAACTTCTTTCCACAAAAGTTTATTAAATGCTGATCAAAAATATATATACAAATATTACTTTAGTTCCAAGAATGATGTGATTGGTTTTATGAAAGAGTAAGAACTCCAAGCAGCCTCTTCTCCAGTCTTTTATTACAATAGGATCAAGAGTGTCTGATAACTGGATGCTTAAATTTATACTTCCCTACTATGAAAAATATTATAAAGCAATGACTTACTTTTCTTATCTTGATCTTGATGTTTTCTTTCAGATGCAGTCATTTCCTGCCTACAAGGAAAGAGATAGTAACATGAGATCCTCCAGGTTCTCCAAAGCTGCAAATGCCTTTCAAAGCATTTGGTTACCCTTAACCTAAGGCCATTGTCAGATTTACCATGCAAATTTTAAATAAAATTAAAAGGCTGCTTACTCTACCCTTTTTTGAAAAACCACAAAAATCTAGGAAAACAATGAACAGCGGAAAACAAAGTTCCATAGAGCATGGAGCCAAGGAAATTCTTAGATTATCAGACTACACATATTATCACATGAATGAAAACATACGTATAATATAATGAAATTTGGGACAATTCAAGGGAGAAAATTGAAAGTTTTGAAATTTATTTCTCTGCTATTCTTGATGAGGGTGTATAAATCCTTAAAGGTAAATAAGAGAGTCTTACAAATTCTAACTAAAACTTTACAGTCATACACGTTAATAAGTGTGGACCAGTGATGAAGAAGTAGAGATTATTTCCAAAGGGACACAATTTACACAATAAAGAGGAGCCAGAGGCAGTGGGGAAGGAGACAGGGTTGCCAGCTCCTCACCTTTTATTTCTCTGTCACTCAGACTCCTAAATTTAAGGGAAAATGTGGGAAAAGGATACAACTTGTGATAAGCTGCCCATCTCCAGGACAGCCAATTACACACACAGTACAGAGACGTGCCTGGGCTAAGGGAAAAATATTCTGGAGGAAGTATTCTAAAACGACATGCCACAAGCAAAGCCTGGATTTTGCAACAGAGCAGAGACCCCCTCTTGGAAGCCTGTCAGGCACCACAAGCAAGGAAATAAAGGAACGCCATGAGTTCCTTCACGGAAATTCCAGGCACCCAGCCAGCCTTGAGAAGCAGACGGGCAGGCTGGCAAGCCGGAGGAAACCGGAATCTCCACCAAACGCATCGCCTGGCACACGGACCTCAGGCACGAGGCAGCCAAGGACTGAACCCCCACTGCCAGGCTTTGTCCACATCTCTTCCTGAGGAGCCTGGAGGAAATCATGCCCAGGGGCCAGACCTTGACATTCCTTTCTCTTGGCCCCATACTTTTAGACAAAGCTTTGCTGCCTTAAACAATTGCACATCAAAGAATCTTTCATTCCGCCTATGATTTATAAGGCACCCTTTCCCCTCAGCTTCTTTTTAGCCAAACCAACTGTTATCTCCATGTACTGATTTACAATTTTGCCTGTAAATTCTTCTTTCCTGAAATTTACCCCTGCCTTTAAAAACCCTTGCTTGTAAGCCATTGAAGAGGACAGGTCGTAAGCCTGAGACCCGCAAATAGACACCTCTTTGTCCTGCAGCGAACCTCCATGTGGTTGTTTTGCCTTACAGTGCCAGGCTGAGCTGCCCTCATTTGGTTCAGTGACAGCTGTAGCTTGTTTCTCTTCTGCACCCTCCTTAAACACACATGCATACACACATGTGCGTGCACACACACACAATTTTGTCTCACAAATGATCTACTTTCATTCAGAATACTAAGCACAAAGTTACAAAGATGAACTGGATAATAAAAACAAACAAAGAAACAAAAACCCAGTGTGTATATGCAACAATCTTGCATGTTCTTCACATGTACCCCAAAGCCTAAAATGCAATTTAAAAAAAGTTAGTTAAAAAGCACAACGTTACAAAGATGAACTGAACAACAAAAACAAAACAAACATATATATATATATAATTGTTAATAATTATTAACAATAACAAATGGAGAAGGAAAGCAGACTGCCTAAACCAGGAAAATAATTGTAGAGAATGACAACATTTGCATATTAAATTAAAACAACACTAATAGGGTAGGAAGGAATGAAGAGAAATTGGCTAATAGGTACAAAAGTATAGTTAGCTAGAAGAAATAAGTTCTAGCATTTGATAGCCTAGTGAGGAAAATTATAGAAAACAATGATTTAGGCCAGCGTGCTGCTGCGTGCCTGCAATCCGCGCTACTCCAGAGGCTGCTGCAGGAGAATCACTTGAACCTGGGAGGCATTCTCACCACACACAAAAATAATGGTAACTGTGTGAGGTAACAAATATATTAATTTGTTAACGTACTTTATTGCGGTAATCACTTTACTGTATATACATATCGAAACATCACATTGTATACCTTAAATATGTACAGTCTTTCTGGTCATTCATACCTCAAGAAAGGTGAGGAAAATATTTAAAATAAAGACACATGTATAAAAGAAAATACATGAGTCTGGGGTGGGGGTGGGGAACAAATAATGAGTTTCAAACATTCATGGGGAAAACGTATATAAAACCAAGTCATCAGGAAGGGCGCTTAAGGCGGCCCAGCTCCACAACTGCAGAGTGGAATTACACTCACTGAGCTGTGAGGAGGAAGGTGCTGACCCTCAAATTGTATTATTCTCCAAGGAAAGAAAGTGTATCGTCAAATGTCTTCGTACTGAGATCATCTAAAACCTATGAGGTCTTTAGGAAAGAAATAAAGCAAACATTACTGCACAATCACATTTGAAATTTGTAAAATGTGAAGTTGTATAACGAAGAAGTTGGTGAACGAAGAATCTAGCCACTCGGTTATCTGTCAGTTCTGAGGCTCTAGCCACAAAATCCAAACCTGTCTAAGTCCAGACTGGATTATCAGCACCTACTGGTCGTCCACTCTGTCTTAAATACAGTGAAGCAATTCTGTATGCTGTGGCCACTGGAAACTTCCAGACAGTGGCAGTAATTCCTGGATTTCTAGGAACCCTCTTAGATTCTCTTGACATCTCTCATGAACTAAACTGTGGCCTCTTAAAGTCTGCATGTTGAAGTCCTAATCCCCAGGACCTCAGAATGTGACGGATCTTAACAGTGGTGATTAAATTAAAACAAGGTCCTAAGAGTGGGCCCTATTTCCAAATGACTGGTGTCTTTGTAAGAACAGAAAATTTGAACACAGTCACACACAGAGGGAAGACTCAGGGAAAAGACAGCCATGTACAAGCCAAAGACAGACCGCACAAAACAACCCACCTCTGCCAACACCTTGATCTCAGACTTCCAGCCTCCATAATTGTGAGAAAGGAAATTTGGGTTCTTTAAGCCGCCCAGTCTATGGTACTTTGCTATGACAGCCCTAGTAAATGAATACAGATTGGTATATGGGAACTGGACTAGACAATACTAACGAAGCAGGACCTGCCTCTCTCCTCCCTGTCTGAGAGGGAGCTGCCTGCAGGGTCCTCAGGTGTCCTTGATATCCCGTCACAGGGACCTTCTCACACTCCAGAAGATGAAGACTTTAGCAAGCCCCTCATGACAGAAAAGGAGCCGGACAGAAGATGGCACGTTAGAGATTAAAACCAGCAAACACTAATACTGTCACGAATTGCTACACACCAAAATATTTAGAATCCATATGAAAGAAAGAAAAGAAAACATGAAAGCTAACTCAAAACAGTAGATTAATTTCTCTCAGCTGATAAAAAATAGAAAAAAATAATGACAGAGAATATCTGAAATACACAATATGGTTTCTCTTGCAAACAAATTTCGGAATTATAATCTTTGAACAATGATTATATATGTTCAAAATTTGTATACATAATAATATGCTGTAGAGGCATTTGAGGACATGAGCTATGACCAGAACTTCACTTGAGAAAAATAGTTTATCTTCATTTCCTTGAACAGTTTCTGGGAGTATTCAGAGCTCAGAATGCTCCCAGACATATTTTAGATGATGATATAAGGCATGGAAATCTGGCCAATTTCCATGCCTGCAATTTTGATAAACAACTTCAAGGATGAGGTCACATAATGAAGGCATAGTTCCAAGGGGAGGAGGTCTGCGCCTGTCCTCATAATGAACTAACATATAAAATACTCAGCAAACATCAGAGAAAGAGAAGAAGAGAGCGCTGCGACTGTCTTGAGATAACCCGTGCTGCTGTCTGCCGGTGTCGATGTGCAGAAGGGGCTCTTCTGGGTATGGTACCTTGTAAATAAACTCTTTCATTTCCATCTCTATCCTGACATGGTATCTTGTAAATAAACTCTTTCATTTTCATCTCTATCCTGGCTGGTGTTTTTCCTTCCCAAGAACCTGCCTCTGTAAAAAAAAAATCCAAGCTTGGTACTTCGGTTAGAAACCGAAACATATGCACTGATTTCTTTTTCCACAAACACAAGCTAAAACTGTAGTATTTTAAGACTATTTTACATATGAAGAACCCAAAATTTAGAGAATGTAAGTAACTTGTCTCAAAGCTAACATATAGGATGAAGAAGACTTTAATAAAATCCATAAAGCAGAAATAACACAGACCACACAGATACTGGCAACAATGAAATAAAATTTAAATTATACTTAAGACTATAAAGCAATATTTGAAATTTAAAATCTATTCAGGTTCAAGAATAAATTAAAATTTGCAAAATATTAGACAAAAATAGTATTTCCTTTACTGACACATAGAATACAGGTAAAATATTGTTTACAGGGAAAGTTTATATTCATATATGCTTCCATTCTTAAACAAGAAAAATTGAGAACAAAACTATTAAGTTTTGAATTCAAAACAATTAGAATAGCAACAATTTTAAAAACTAAGGAAAGCAAAAAAAAAAAAAAAAGACTGTAATAAAGATAAAAGCAATGACTACTATGACATCCTGGAAAAAAGCAAAACAGAAATCAGATCGGTGGTTACCAGGGGTTGAAGGGAAAGAGAGGGGTGATGGAAATATTCTGTATCTTGATTGTGGTGATTACATGACTGTGTATGTTTTTCCTAAACTTATCAAACTGTACATATATGAAGGGTGAATTTTACTGTGCTATACCTCTATAAACCTAAATCTTAAAAGTTAAGTGACTTGAAAGAGCTCACACTGTTCTTTCTGCAAATGTGTTTAAATGAATAATACTCTGGTAAAAATCCAATAATCAAAACTGTACTCAGCAAGATGTAGAAAATCCAACTTTATTCAGTAGACATCATCCTGTGAAATTTGCCAAATGGAAAATCAACTTCTGAGCCCACGTGAAACATACATATTTGACTGCGATTCACTGGAATAGTAAAATGGTTCAGATCTTCCTCACCATGCTGACTAGTGAAAATTCTATGAGTCTTGCTTATAAAATTTCCTTGCATGGGAAAACCCTAAAGACCCTGAATGTATCTTCGTTTAGTTAATGTCTGCTTGTAATAAAGACTTGCTGGTATTTGAGAATGGTAACACTTCAGTTTCTTTAACAGAAAAACATTAGAGAGTGACGTCTAGTTCAGATCTTGCTTTAGACATGGTGAAACAAAAGCCTAGTTTAAATGACTAGTTTTTGCCTAAATTAAATGCTTAATGTGTTTAAAAGACATACAGAACTGATGCACAGCGGCTGGTAAAAGAACCTCATTCAATAACATCACCGAATCATTGCTATCTCCTCTTCAGCTACAAACCACGAGAGGAGCTGGGGGGAGCATGAGAAAGGGTCACAAGATAGGCACAGTCAACGCCACTGCCCCTGAGGGCTGACTCATGAAGTCAGCTCTCTCCTTTGTGCATGAAAGTGTCCTCGTTGGAACATTTGGGAGGGGCTGATGCCTGCAAACGTCATTTCACATCACCCACAAATACCTGGCTCATCTCCTCAATCCTCTGTCCCTTCATACCGTGGAAGAGAAGAGCCATCTCAGAGATAGAAACCAAGACATTGAGATGAAATGATTAAAAAAGAGATTACTGCAAAAATATGAAAAGCCTACGGTTGACCAACAAGGCAGGGTGTTTCTGTTCATCTAAGCCGAGGGAAGATATCAACATCAAGATATCTACTATTTTTCCACTCCATTTTTTTTCTTTTTTCCACTGAGTGTCTTGTAAGGGTCGGGCAACAGATACGCACCAGAAAATGAAATGACATGACTTTAACGTGCGTGTGGTCTATGAAGGAAGTGGACTGGAAAGAGCTCAAGCGACATACAGTTACAAGTGGAGATAAAGGCCCCAACAAATACATGTAGGTTCTAGTGCCATAAAACCATGGGGTGCGGAAGCAAAGTTCCTCCCTCCCTAGTGAGGGGGTCTTTCAGAGAAGGGCACGAGAGCCAGCATCTCCAGGAAGAGACGTTATCAATCAGTCCAAGTCCAAATCTGGAAAACTTTTTTTAATTATGCAGTAAATAAGTAGCTTGTATAACTGCTCTAAGGTGAGGCTGAGTTTGGTGGCTTGAAGAACAAATAAAAGGAGAATGCCTATAAGATAGTGAGTGAAGGGAGAGGGAGAGGAACCAGATTGGAGAGAGATGCAGAATCCAATTCTTACAGAATTGTAGGCCCTGGTGAAGAGTTTGCATTTTATTCTGGATGCAATGAAGAACCATTGAATGGTCTCAGGCAAGGAAAAGGCCTGATGAGATATGTTTCCCAAAGATTATTCTGTCTACTCACAAGGAAAAGGTGAGAAATATGGCCACCACATGTAGCCAACCAAAACCAAACATGCTTTATTCTAGCTTTACGTTTCTACACTTGCATTATATAATCAATGTGCGCTAATACTCTGTCTTTCTTACTTAGATACAGCCAATGTCTAACATGCTGCCACGGCATGCAGGTAATCACCAAAGAACTCTATTATAGTGGCCCTAAGAGGTGTTAGTTCTAGTGGGGCAGCTACTCTGGAAGTAATCGCAAAGAAAACAAAGCCCTGACATGCTCCGTTCTTACCATTTTCTTTCCTCATCCGGGTTTCCCTTTCTGGGCTTCTTTTGGTTCTCTCCAAGGCAACTATATGGAAACACACAAGAAAAAAGAGAGATTGTTAGTACCCTCCAAATTTTTTCACCTTCTTCTCTTTCTGAACCATTAAACTAAGCCTGCCTTTTCTTTGTGACAAACTTCCCTTAACGTCAAAATCAATAAGCAGTCACAGATAGAATGTATGTCAGAAACTAACCTCAGAGACCAGCTGATGGGACAAAATGCCCACAGTCTGACCTTTGATCTCTCAGTCTTGGGATTTATCATGACCCAACATGCAAACTTCCTGCATCTCCAGAGGAGGTGAGAGCTCCCAAGAAGCTACAAAGACCTTAGCAGCAGGGAGGTGCCACCTCTGTAACAACCCAGGGCGAGACGAGGTTTGTGCACACATTTGTGGAGTGTGAGGACTGTCAGTCCTGGCCCTCTGAACCACAGCAAGCTTCTCTGGGCCCTGCTGCATGTGGACATCCACGTACAGATAAGACACCGGGATCTTTTTTTTTTTTTTTTTTTTTTTTTTTTTTGAGACAGAGTTTCGCTCCTGTTACCCAGGCTGGAGTGCAATGGCGCGATCTCGGCTCACCGCAACCTCCACCTCCTGGGTTCAGGCGATTCTCCTGCCTCAGCCTCCTGAGTAGCTGGGATTACAGGCACCCACCACCGTGCCCAGCTAATTTTTTGTATTTTTAGTAGAGACGAGGTTTCACCATGTTGACCAGCATGGTCTCGATCTCTTGACCTCATGATCCACCTGCCTCGGCCTCCCAAATGCTGGGATTACAGGCTTGAGCCACCACGCGCGGCAGGGATCTTTATGTGCATTCAGGAAAGCTGATTTTTTTCTATTACTCTTGGTGTTTTGCCATCGATTATCGTCATCTTTACGATAATCAGGCAAACACTAAATGATGAAGTTAGAGAAATCAGGTGATTTGCATGGTTAACACAATAGTTAGCAACTTGCGTTTGTGACTTGATTCATCAAACTTTCTACAACACCAGTTGTCCAAACATAGCATTTCTTTGAGTGGCTTTCTTTTCCTCTGTGATCACATCTGCAACACTGGTCTATCCTTCTGCTTCTGTGCAGCTTTGCACGTAAGAGCCTCACCTCTGCTTACCAGCAGAATTCAGGGAAAGTATTTGGAACCAAGGCTGAGAAAGTGCCTTCCCTGAATATAGCTCATATGTATATGTTCAAGAAACATTGCTATATATCAACACGCAAGGCCACTAAGCAAAGAATATATTTGTTAAATATAAAGTAATGTCAATTTACAGAGGAGGGGGCATTTTTATAGAATCAGTTGCTGATGTAGATATTTTGTGTAATAGTCACAAGTACAGTCAAATCTGGATGTAGTGCTTACTGTATTTAATATTGTAGATTGGGCCGGGTGCAGTGGCTCACATCTGCAATCCCAGAACTTTGGGAGGCCAAGGCAGGTGGATCATGAGGTCAAGAGATCGAGACCAACCTCGCCAACATGATGAGCCCTCATCTCTACTAAAAATACAAAAATTAGCCGGGCGTGGTGGCACGCACCTGTAGTCCCAGCTACTCGGGAGGGTGAGAAAGGAGAATCACTTGAACCCTGGAGGCGGAGGTTGCAGTGAGCCAAGATCCTGCCACTGCACTCCAGCCTGGCAACAGAGTGAGACTCTATCTCAAAAAAGTAAAAAATAAAAACGAAGGTAGTGTAGATTGTAAATCCGGTAAAGAGCGTCTCCTTCTTTCTCTCCCTTTTCCCAGAATCCAGTTTTCTCATGATTCCGTCTTTCTAAACTGGTCAGTAAAGAATCTGGTAAAATAATTGTCCTTGGGGTTATTAGTGATTCACTGACTTATACCCCCAGAGGATGTTTGTATTTTAAAGTTGAAAACAAGACAGGAAAGTACTTAACATCAGTAGCGACCTAATCGGAATTCCACACCATTAGTATTACTGAACATAACTAGATACTAAATTCTACTGTGAATAAAGTAAAAGTATTTTTCTTAATCAAGAGGAATTCAGATATATCAGGCCATAGGTGATGTACAAAAATTTGTTGACCTAATTAACAAATCAATGAATACTCTACTGTTTTTAAAAATGGGTATTTTATTAAGCTTTAAATGTATCTTGGCCAAAGAATTAAGCTTATGGGTAATTTTTTAAACCTTCTAGGTTTTTTTCTTCTTGTTTTTCAACTTTCTAAATGTTAGATGTTGACTTATAACTTTATAACTCCGCAAAGAAAGTCTTAATAAATATCCCCCAAAATCAACAATTTGCACACTATTTCTCCAACTATCAAGCAGTAAAATGGAAACTCAATAAGCTATAACTAAAAGTGTACACGTCTAGGCATAAGTACTATACTAAGTAATCCTTACGTTAAAGAAGGAATCATAAAGGAACCTTCTAAAACCACAGAGTAAATAATAATGCAAGCTACGCAAGACTATTTGCAGGATACGGTGAAGTGCGAAGAAAACAGGTTGCTAAAATACATTCATAAGGAAATATAAATAACTAATAATGACAAAGTAAGCATTTGTCTTAAAAAGTTGGGAGAGAAAAAAGAAACAAGAAAGTTGTAAGTAAAAATGAATATGATAGGGAACCAAATCTTAAAAAATAATATCAGTAAGACAGCAAAAGTCTGGAAAGACCAACTAAAGAAATAAGGAAGAGGGACAAAAATACAGAAAGTTCAGAATAAGTATTACAGACATAAAACAAACATGACGAATAATTATGTAAAATAAACATGATGGCTTAAAATGAATACTCTGGAAAAAAAATAAAATGCAAAATCTGGCACATGAATACCATCAATAACAAACAATTCCAGCTTATATAGCTGCATACACAATTTACCAAACTTCAAGTGACAAATATACTCTCATATATAAGATATTTCAGAAAGTAGAAAAATGTAAAATGATGCCAATCCATTTAATGAGATTTGTAAACTTTAATTTTCAATTAACTAAATCAAATTTTTAGGCCAGGTGCGGTGGCTCAAGCCTGTAATCCCAGCCCTTTGGGAGGCCGAGGCAGGTGGATCACGAGGTCAAGAGATCGAGACCATCCTGGTCAACATGGTGAAACCCCGTCTCTACTAAAAATACAAAAAAATTAGCTGGGCATGGTGGCACGTGCCTGTAATCCCAGCTACTCAGGAGGCTGAGGCAGGAGAATTGCCTGAACCCAGGAGGCGGAGGTTGCGGTGAGCTGAGATCGTGCCATTGTGCTCCAGCCTGGGTAACAAGAGTGAAACTCCGTCTCAAAAAAAAAAAAAAAAAAAAAAAAAAAAAAAAAAAATCGCAGGTCCTATTCAATCATGAAAATAGATGCAATAATCCTCAATAAAATATAAGTTAACTAAATCTAAAACTATAGTAAAATGGCACACATCACAATCAAATGGGTTTTATCCCAGAAATCTAAGGATAGGTAATCAGCAAAAATATTTATTGACATAATTAACCACTTTAGAAGTCTAAGAGAAGAATCATGAGGTTATCCCAATAGTTTAAAAATGCATTTGATAATGTTTGGTCCTTATTAACAATAAAAACCCTCAGAAGAGCTGGGTGCAGCTCCTTGGGAGGCTGAGGCAGGAAGATCACTTGAGGCCAGGGGTTCAAAGCTGTAGTGCACTCTGATTGCATCTGTGAATAGCTACTGAACGCCAGACTGGGCAACACAGTGAAGTCTCATTTCTACATATTAAAAAAAAAGTAGAATTTTCTTATTTTGATAGAGACAATATGCCAAAAACATTAATGCCAAACATAAATGTCAAAAATGTACAGCAAACTTAATGAAAACAATTCAGAAAAAAAATCGTGATCAGTTATAAGACAAGGATGCCTAAGAATTCTGACATTGTTAAACATAATTATGCTATCAGATAAGATAAAGATACCTATAAGATTTATGAGAAATGACAAAGAGTAGAAAAATCTTTAACTTTATTTATTTATTTATTTATTTTATTATTTTTTTATTGCATTTTAGGTTTTGGGGTACATGTGAAGAACATGCAAGATTGTTGCATAGGTACACACAAGGCAGTGTGGTTTGCTGCCTTCCGTCCCCTCACCTGTATCTGTCATTTCTCCCCATGCTATCTCTTCCCACCTCCCCACCCCCCCGTCCCTCCCCCATTTCCCCCCAACGGACCCCAGTGTGTAGTGCTCCCCTCCCTGTGTCCATGTGTTCTCATTGTTCAACACCCGCCTGTGAGTGAGAATATACGGTGTTTGATTTTCTGCTCTTGCATCAGTTTGCTGAGAATGATGGTTTCCAGGTTCATCCATGTCCCTACAAAGGACGTGAACTCATCGCTTTTGATGGCTGCGTAATATTCCATGGTGTATATGTACCACATTTTCCCTATCCAGTCTATCATCGATGGGCATTTGGGTTGGTTCCAGGTCTTTGCTATTGTAAACAGTGCTGCAATGAACATTCGTGTGCACGTGTCCTTGTAGTAGAATGATTTATAATCCTTTGGATATATACCCAGTAATGGGATTGCTGGGTCAAATGGGATTTCTATTTTTAGGTCTTTGAGGAATCGCCACACTGTCTTCCACAATGGTTGAATTAATTTACATTCCCACCAACAGTGTAAAAGTTCCTATTTCTCCACATCCTCTCCAGCATCTGTTGTTTCCCGATTTTTTAATGATCGCCATTCTAACTGGTGTGAGATGGTATCTCAATGTGGTTTTGATTTGCATTTCTCTGATGACCAGTGATGATGAGCATTTTTTCATATGTTTGTTGGCCTCTTGTATGTCTTCTTTTGTAAAGTATCTGTTCATATCCTTTGACCATTTTTGAATGGGCTTGTTTGTTTTTTTCTTGTAGATCTGCTTTAGTTCTTTGTAAATTCTGGATATCAGCCCCTTGTCAGATGGGTAGAATGCAAAAATTTTTTCCCATTCTGTTGGTTGCCGATTCAATCTACTGACTGTTTCTTTTGCCGTGCAGAAGCTGTGGAGTTTGATTAGGTCCCATTTATCTATTTTGGCTTTTGTTGCCATTGCTTTTGGTGTTTTGGTCATGACTTTATACATGATATAGTAACTATGTAAAATTGTAAAATTTCTATGGCTAGCCTTGGGGAGGAATGAGTTGCCAGAAAAATCTTTAACTTTATAGATGATATATTAACTATGTAAATTATGTAAAATTTCTGCAGATTTCACTAAGATTAAAAAGCCATGAAAAAAATTAGAAATTCAACAAGGCTAGTGAATACCAAATCATCTTGCAAAATTCAATAACATTCCAACAATAACACGCTAGGAAAAAATGCCACTCATAGATTTATTATTGTTGCATGTGGTATCTAGAAATCAATCTAACAAAGAATAAAAGAAAAACAAAAAATTAAAATATTAGAATGCATTAAAGAACATTTAAATAAAAGTATTTGCAAATAATTGTTTTGATTGGAGTATTAATAGTATATCTGCATAAATATAGAATAATTTGCAAATACATCTCTATATTCACAGTGTTATCCCAATCAATGTTCAAGCTGGCACTTTTGATAAAATACACAAATTCAGATTTTGTGTATAAATTTATATGGGAGGATAAAGCCTTCAAAGAACAAAATCAATTTTGAAATAAAAACTAAAGAGAGTGTGTGATGGACACTGCCTATGGTGATGTCAACATTTACTTCACCCTCTTGCTAGCCAGAGAGGTAGAAAGCAGCAGCCACCTTCCCCAGACTCATCTGCAGCCAGTTATCGGGCTGCAAATTAGGTACTGCCCAAGGTAAGAGGCCTTTGACGAGCAGGGTCAGGGCAGCAAGAGCTTCTCTGCATCAGCGTTGTAGAGGCCATGCTCCAGCCTCCTCTCACACCACAAACTCCAAGGCGACTCTTTGGGAATGCATTTACTGAATTTCCTCTTCATTTTGGTTGTTCCTTAGGAATTTCAGCTCTTTACCATCTCTTTGTTGGGGCTCAGAAAATGATACTTCAAAATAAAGGGCTGAGAAGCAGCTCTCTCTTTCTCCTGCCCTCCTCTCTCTGGCAACTCATTCCTCCCCAGGGCTAGTCATAGAAATTAGAATCCCTCTTCCTTGAGGTGATTCATAGAAATCAGAACTTCTTTTCCCCAAAGCCAGCCATGTAATGAATAAGACGACTCTAACTTTCCCTCTATCTTTCTGTGTAAGAACCAGACATAAAGAAATTATCTGACCTACTTTGTTTGACTGTAGGTCATAAGACCCTATTCCAGAGAGTGTTCTGCCCCACACCCATAAGTAAGGAATGCTGCACAGAGAGGTCAAGAAGAATCTAAACCAGCAGAACAAGACTTGCTAGGATTTGCCACTGAGTCTATTCGCATTAGGTCATATCCTTTTCATCCAGTCACGTTTCTACATGGCTATCCATAATTTGTTTAACCTGAGCATAAAATTGGACAGTTTCCTTTGCATCTTTGGGTCTTCATTCTCAGGCTCTTGTGCCGCATAAAACAATGATCAATAAATTTTTATGCCTTTTGTCCGATTAATGTGCCTTTTCTCAGTTGATTTCAGGGACCAAAGGGGAAGTTTTCCCATTACCCCTACATCATCCTTGGTATATTTTAAGAGCTTGTTAACTGTCTACTTCTCTGTCATTCCTCCATACTCACTGAGGATAGATATTTCTTCCTAAAATACATGCCACATTGCATCTTTCTCCAGCTTATAAATGTTCACTCATTTATCACTTCCTATGCGCCTTTGAAGGACCTTCATTAACAGACCCCCAACTTCATTCTCCATTTCTTCTGCTACTGGAGTCATCTCTGAGCAGTGTGTCCTACTGTTGGTAGTAATACCATGTACTTGAACCTCATCATTTTCAGTTTGTCCCTTTTGTTTGGACTGTCTTTTCCTACTTTGTAAGTCCACCTAGCATTTACAGCACAATCCAAATGGCAGTTCCTCAAACATGTCCTTCCTTCCTGCTCTCCCAAATCAGAATTCCGTTCCTTCCTTCCTCTTGTTTCTTTAGTGCACTGTTTGTGCTTCTACACAGAGCACGTTAGCATCTGCCTAATCTGAAATAGAAGCCATTGTGGTGTAACAGAAATGACGGACGACTTGGCCTCATACATTACACGTGAGAGTCATAATTTTATAGCAAAAGTAACCTTGACAAGTTTTAATTTTCTCTCAATTTTAATTAACTGAGCCACATAATCTCTATTTTTTTAAAGCTGAGTCAGAGTGATCAAGTACTATGTTCTCTGAAGGGGCCTATCCACTTTTAAAATTTGCTTCCATATCTATTTTCCTTTCATGTTTAATTCTTTCTTGAGACCAAGACCATTGTCTTATGTAGGCTTTCCATAAACCCTGGTTAACTTTAAAAGAAGGGAAGCATTTTTTCTTCAGGGTAAATATTTGAATTTACCTCTCAGCACGATTGTGTCATTTTTCCTCCGTCTACTGCCCAGAGTAATCCTCATCCTTGCTGTGATGGCCCTTCTCCATCCACAAACCCTTAAGCTCTTTGAGAAATAGGAAGCAACTGAAAGACTAAATGAAGAGGTCAAGGGACAGCAGTGCTTTTTAACCCGGTCGAGGGAGGTGGCATGAACTAACAGGTGTGGGGAAGACAATCAGCTGCCTCACTAAGAGCTGTTTTGTTTGACTGTAGGTCATGAGCCCCCCATTCCAGAGCATGTTCTGCCCCACACGCGGAAGTAAGGAATGCTGCACAGAGAGGTCAAGAAGAATCTAAACAGACAGCACAAGACGCCCTGCAATGTTCCACTCAGTCTGTTAGCATTGGGTCACATCCTTTTTGTCCAGTCATATTTCTACATGGTACCCACTGGAGCACAGGGGTGCTATGATGAGAGTTTTTCCCTGGGCCTATGACTGTAGTCACATCATATGCAAGACTGTGTGGAAGGGGTCTGGAAAGTGGACAGAGGGGTGGGATGCCGGAACACTCGGTCATTTAAGATGAAGCAAGATGTAAGAGCAATAATTCCTGTTGTCTATGTACATTCTACAAGTTATGGAGTACCGGAAGAGTGTAAAGCTGAACGTTACCCAAAAAGCTGTGACTGAAGGCAAAAGCATTCAAATGCATATTCTGCCTCCATAATTTGCAAGAACGTGACAGTTCATTCTCATATCAACCCACGAAGCTGACAGATGGGAACGTAAGCTCTATGCCCACATAAAGAAAAAAAGGAGCAGAAAAATTCAAGTGGCAGTTGTCTAGGGTTGCCAGATGAAATACCAGATGCACTGCTGCATTTGAATTCCAGATAAACAATGAATAACTTTTTAGTAAAATACAACCCATGTAATAATGCCCAAAATATTATATGAGGCACAGTCTTACTAAAAAAAATTATTCTTCTGAAATTTGAATGTGACATAGCATCCAGTATTTTTGTTTTCTCATCTGGCATCCTATCGTGGTTCGAGAGTAGGGCAAGAGAAGGAGTCCACCGAGCATCCCTGTGTGCTCTGAAAGGATGCTGTCTCCAAGCTCAGCCTTCCTGAAGCACGCCCTTACAAATGCATGTGTCCAGCCTCCCTATCTCTGTTCTCTTTCTCCCAAGAAACGCAGCCCCCAGAGTCCAGACTCACCCGAGTTTTCGCAGGAGATAATTTCCCATCCTTTCACGGTGACTCGGTTTCTTCACTCCTGAGTTTCACTCTACTTGGGGAAGTTCTGAACAAAGCACCAAGAGGCAAATACATGAGGCAGGACGTTGCATCTGACCACTGGTTCGTGCTCCTGCCAACCACGAGCTGCCAGGGGTCCTGGGCATGATAGAGAAGGCAGGAAGCGCTCAAACAGGGAGGCGGAAAGGAAAGAGTGAGTGTGCGTGTGTCTGTGTGTGTGTATGTGTGTGTGTGCGTGTGTGCGCCTACACACACACGCACGCTCATACACACACATGGGCGTACAGTAGGGAAAAAACAGGCTGAAACATGAGTGAATCTAACACTCCAGGTTCACTTTGCTTTCAAGGAAATTCTAGTATTGCAAGATCAAACAAGGTAAGGACTTCCCTGTTCCTCAGAAATGAGCATAGTAAGATTACACAAGAATGGTAATAAGAGAGTTGCATTTTTGCTGGAATAGAAATGACAAATCTCGATTCATGATTTTTTAGGCGCGCTGTTCATTACAGCACGGAGATCTGAGATCTCGAGATTCCAAATACTTTGTCCTCTTCCAAACACACAAAGAGAACACCTCTTCCTGGGAAAAAGAAAACCAAGTTAGAGATGAAATTTCTCTTTGCAACTCTGGTAATGATAATCAGATCAAATGTCAAGAGCCTTTCCTCAGAGGTCTGATACTCCCAAAGACAAGATGGGAGAAGGAGGGAAAAACAGTATGAGAGTAGAAGGTTATCAAAATTACTTGGGGTAGGTCAAGAAGCCATTTTTTTGGTTGTCAGCTGGAAGGCTAACTCGGCAGTGGGGAAAATGCAGGGCCTGGAAGACCTGTTGCCAGCATCTGGCCCCCCCACTTCCTCCCCTACGCTGCCCACCAGAGCCACAAAGCACAAGCTGGTTCTAGTGATAATTTCAAAGCCACAATATCAGCAGCAGGAGATTAGCTAACAGCTGACTCTGAGCTGTTGCTGTCAGGAGACTGAAATCGCTTATTCATTGTGTCTCCTGCCCAACGCTGTGCTCCACAGGTGGTTGATTTTCTTCAGTTTCCAACCAACACAAAATCTGTTTGCTGGATTTAGAAACTACGTGTCCACTTTCCCCAGTGAGGAAATCAGGACTGAGGACGTTTCAGTGACTGTTAACGAGCAGCGGAACTCAGGAGTCTGGAATGCTTCATAATTATTTATAAGTTTTGTATTATTTATTTATCTGTCATAAACATGAGAAAAATATCTTACAAGCCGGAGTGTCACCCGCCTCGTTTCAGATTTGTGATTTATCTGATTCGTATTTGACAACCCATGTACCAAAGTGCTGCTTCCCAAACTTTCGCATGTAAGAAAATCACCTGAGGATCCTGTTAAAATGCAGATTCAGACTCTTTCTAACTGCGATCAATATTCTGCCTTTCTAACAAGTTCCCAGGTGATGCCACTCCAGCCAATGCATGGAGCAGCAAGGTGCTAAGAGGGGTGTTCCACCATTGCTGTCCTTGACCAGAAACGTGGGCATCACTGAGAACTTGTGAGGAATGAAAATTCTCAAGCCCCACCTCAAACCGGCTGAATCAGAAACTCTCGGGGGTGGGGTCCTCCTGTTCCCTTCTAAAATTGGAGAGCTACTGAAATAAACCTTTCTTTCTCTTATTCTGATTACTCACAAATAAGCTCATTAATCCTCAAATGCTCAAGTAAGTAGATCCATGTTAGTGTTTAGGCACTGAATGACATGAAATGTGGTGACATGAAAGGTTTTCCCTTTTTCAGCATGTCTGACTCCCATCTGTCCCACGCTAGCATAAATTGGTCTGGAACTGAAGTTCTCCATCTGTAGAATGAATAGGGGGCAGGTGAAAGAGTCTTAGGAAGCCGTAGGTGTCCTGCCATGATTATGGCTATGGCTGCTGTTTGAGAACAAAGACATGCACGATATTCAACTTGATTTAGATTCTCGGTGCCGTATAGAAAATTAAGTACAAGAAAAATAACCCAGAATCCTACTACCCTCAACTACCCTCTTGTGCCTTTTTTTTTTTTTTTTTTTTTTTTGGAGACAGGGTCTTGCTCTGCTGGTGTACAGTGGCATGATCAGGGCTCAACTGCAGCCTGTACCTCCCAGGCTCAAGCGATCCTCCCTCCTCAGCCTCCAAGTAGTTGGGACTACAGGTGTGTGCCATCACACCAAGCTCATCTTTTTTAAAAAATTGTGGTAGAGGCAAGTCCTCATTACATTGCCCAGGCTGGTCTCAAACTTTTGAGCTGAAGCAATCCTCCTGCCTTGTCCTCCCAAAGTGCTGGGATTGCAGGCTTGAGCCACCACGTCCAGCCCCCTTGTGAATTCTGATGCACGCCTTTACCTATTTTTGCTTTGTGAAAACAAACATGCACCCACTGGTTTTAAAATTTCCAAAACTAGGATCATCCTTTCCACTTAAGTGCTTTCATGCCATTAAATGCATTTCAAAGGCCATTTTCTCAGCCAGGGGTGGTAGTGTGTGCCTGTAGTCGGATCTGCTTGGGAGGCTGAAGCAGGAGGATTACTTGAGCCCAGGAGTCGGAAGCTGTGGTGTGCAATGATCATGCCTGTGAATAGCTGCTGCACTCCAGCCTGAGCAACAGAGCAAGACCCTCTCATCATTAGAAAAACCGAAACAAACAAAAATTTATTTTTTCTTTCCTAGCTTTATTGATATATAAAGAAGTGAATGTAATTAATGTACACAATTTGGTGAGTTTGGACATGTGCATGTATTTATGTTACCATCACCACCGTCAAGGTAATAAAGATATGTATCATCTCCAAAAGTTTCCTTGTATCTCTTTGTGATTTATTTTTCGTTTTTCTCTTTGTAGTAAGAACAGTTAACATGAGATCTACACTCCCTAACAAATTGTTAAGTATGCAGCATCTTTTTTTTTTTTTTTTTTTGAGACGGAGTTTCGCTCTTGTTACCCAGGCTGGAGTGCAATGGCGCGATCTCGGCTCACCGCAACCTCTGCCTCCTGGGTTACAGGTAATTCTCCTGTCTCAGCCTCCTGAGTAGCTGGGATTACAGGCACACGCCACCATGCCCAGCTAATTTTTTGTATTTTTAGTAGAGACGGGGTTTCACCATGTTGACCAGGATGGTCTCGATCTCTTGACCTTGTGATCCACCCGCCTCGGCCTCCCAAAGTGCTGGGATTACAGGCTTGAGCCACCGCGCCCGGCCAGTATCTTATTTTTAACTATAGGTACTATGCTATAACAATCAGAGTGAAAAGGCAACATATGGACTGGGAGAAAACATTGCAAACCATACATTTAATGAGGGATTAATTTCCAAAACATTTAAGGAACTCACACAACTCAATAGCAAAAATAAATAAACATAACCCAGTTTTTAAAATGGGCAAAGGAACTGAATAGACACTTCTTCAAAGAAGACATACAAATGGCCACCAGGTCTATGAAAAGATATTCAACATCACTAATTATTAACGAAATACAAATCAAAACCATGATGAGATATCTCCTGCCCATTAGGATGACTATGATTAAACACATTTCCTTAATATCATTACTAAGGGGTGCAAAGTGCCTCTCTGTATAATCATCATGATGATTGCCTTCAAACAGTTTCTTTTTTGTTATTTCCAGTTTTTCTGTTGCAAAAAATGCTACAGTTGGGCCGGGCACGGTGGCTCAAGCCTGTAATCCCAGCACTTTGGGAGGCCGAGGCGGGTGGATCACAAGGTCAAGAGATCGAGACCATCCTGGTCAACATGGTGAAACCCCGTCTCTACTAAAAATACAAAAAATTAGCTGGGCATGGTGGCGCATGCCTGTAATCCCAGCTACTCAGGAGGCTGAGGCAGGAGAATTGCCTGAACCCAGGAGGCGGAGGTTGCGGTGAGCCGAGATCGCGCCATTGCACTCCAGCCTGGGTAACAAGAGCGAAACTCCGTCTAAAAAAATAAAAAATAAAAAATAAAATAAATAAATAAATAATAAAAATCCCTGTTACTACTCACCGAAGGGTTTTCTATTTCGAGAAGCAGCTGAGTTTCAGGCCAACATCTCAAATTTGGAGTATCTGTGTCTTTTTTTTATTTATAGTTTGATTTGAAAACACCATTCATTTTCTGTGTCCAGGAGACCTGATTTTTTATTTGGGCTCCACCCTGGTTCCATCTGCACCCCAGTTTCAGCCATCTTGGGATTAGACTGAGTACTCCATATGGACGATGATGAGATCATGCTGAAAATACCAACATATAATGAGTAGCTGAATTAGTCCTCAATATTCTGCCCCACCAACTGTGATCCATAAGACATGGGAGGCCAAACCCACTGCTTTGCTCAAGGATATACCATAGAAACTTGATTTCTGAGAAGCGCAATTGCTGAGAAATTGCCAAAAGAAATTAATTATAAGCAATGCATTGCTCTATCAAGAGGCATTTCCTTGTTGTTTTAATAGCTTCGATAGGAAAACAAATTGAAAAAGACTTTTGCAAGAAAATAGTCACAGTATTTTAAGTTAAAACAATATATATTTAGAAAAAACTATGACCAAATAGGTAAAGAAATGTCTGAGTGAAAAAAATAAAAGAATTGAGCACTGTAATTGTCACTTAAAAGAATATTTGTTTTATTTTTGAAAAAATAAATTATTTTCAGCAATCAGTTTCTCTTACAGTTTTACTCAGGAATTCGATGCCTTCTAAACAGAAATGGAGAATATATAAAAATGAGCATACGCAAGTCATTGTAATTTTCTCAAAGGCTCTTGAGGTTTTTTTGTTTGTTTGTTTGTTTTTGTTTTTGTTTGTTTGTTTGTTTGCCTTTTGTTTTTTGAGACGGAGTTTCGCTCTTGTTACCCAGGCTGGAGTGCAATGGCGCGATCTCGGCTCACCGCAACCTCCGCCTCCTGGGTTCAAGCAATTCTCCTGCCTCAGCCTCCTGAGTAGCTGGGATTACAGGCACGCGCCACCATGCCCAGCTAACTTTTTTTTTCGTATTTTTAGTAGAGACGGGGTTTCACCATGTTGACCAGGATGGTCTCGATCTCTTGACCTCGTGATCCACCCGCCTCAGCCTCCCAAA